ACAGTTACCCCAACAGGGTCTTTATGTTCTGATCCACCCCCAAGCTTCAGTTCCAGTCTCAGCCAGCCTGCCCCAATCACGGGCATAAGAGCACCTGGCATATTCAGGAAGGTCTGCAGATGAGAACCCGGAACATTACCAAGTAAATTAGCCTCACAGAGCATTGTGTTACCACTGAACCACCGCTTTGGCCCTGAAACACCACAGTGTGCATTAGAAGCAACAATCACAAGGGCACCTTATTGAGGAATTAGAAGAGAGGCTTAAAGGGTGGATAAAGATGTCAGATAAAAAGTTAAGGAGAAAGAGCTAAAGGAGTATCCTAAAGTTACTATATCTCTGGGCTCCAAAGGGAAAGGGTTAACTGCCAACTTAGTAAAGCTAGGGAATTTTAGAGCGAGCACATTAGTTAAACAATGTGAAAAATCAGCAAAACTGGTTTGCCACGAGCAGCAATCTCCCTGAAATAGGCTCTCATTTACTTTTCATTTCTTCTGCTTTCCAGTCTCTTCTCTTTGAAGCAGTTCTTGATTAGTTTCTTTTTTAATTGCCACTTAATTGGGAAACAAAATTAGAACACTTATTTGATATCAGTGATGAGGTTTCTCTTTTCATTTCTGCTTTGATCTAGTTTTGAAAAACCAAAAGCTGAAGGGAGAAATTAAGAAAAAGGGACTAAAAAGATTTCTAAGAGCTAGGTGCAGTTATAAGCCATAAAATAAATATGGAAAGAGCCACTCTTGGAGAATTTGAGAAAGAAAATGAAAACAAGTAAAGACACCTTTATGGAATTTGCTTTCAAATATCTCTTTCTTTTAAGTTTCTTCATAAGGAGAAACTTGGGGCCAGCAGGTGGGGTGGTGGTAAAGGTGCTGGACTCCCACATGGTGGACAGAGGTTTGAGTCCCGGACCTGGTGGTTTGCTTTCTCCCTTTCCCTATCTCTCTGGTCAAATTAAAAATAAATAAAATTGAATAAATAATACAAAAAATAATATCTCACAACCAGAAAGAATCCATGTTAATCTGTCCCATGGGATAAGAGAATGGCATGGAAAAGACATATTCCTTATCGAAGGGCTCCTGACTTATGATTTACCAGCATCTCAATGGTATTAATACATCGTGAAATGAATTCCAAAAGAATTCTAGACACAAAATAGTCTAAAAGTTTTTTTGTTCCAAGTGCCCAGAAAAACTTCATTTGTTCTCCAAAATTAAAATCCACTGTCAGCTGATGAAGTTTATTCTTCAGTAATACTTCTTGGGGAACCAGCAGGGGGCATGGTAGTTAAGGCATTGGACTTCCACATGGCCAACTGCTGTTCGAGTCCCAGACCTGGAGGCTTGAAACATGTCAGGCACATGTGTGTGCATACCCCCAAATCCTGAGAGGATGGAGGGGAAAGGATTGTAGCATGGCCAGCCTCCCTGAGGGTGATTTCACACTTTGTATCTCTCAGGCAAGTGCATGCACCCTATAGCAAAAATCTCTCTTAAAAAAATTGTAATATTTCTTGGAAAGCCTTCATGAAAGAAAAAAAAAAAAAGAAAGAAAACAAGCAAATTAAAGCATATTGATGAATCATGAACTGCAGGGGGATGGAGCATAAAGATTATCTCAGTCTGATTGTCCTCTCAATTGTTCAGGGTAATTTATGTCAGGCAAGTAACTGGGGGTAAAATGCTGACCTCCTTTCTTCTGCTCAGTAGATTAAAAAAAAAATAGCTAACAGAAAAACTACAGATAGACACACACATATATACTGATATGTATGCACATGCACATATATGTATATGCATACATGACATTTTATACTTAACAAATGTTTATGCTTATTTAATTACGGAAGAAACAAAGAACTAAATTCATGCATAAAGAGACATGAGAAACTAGAAAAACTGTATTTCCTATTAACCCAGTGCATGAATATAGCTCATTTCAACTACGCACAGCACTATGAACCCATCTTCATAGAACCCATAAAGGTCTAAGAAAATAGGTGAGTTTTCACTATCATTAGCCTTTATTGCATATTGTACTTTAAAATCACTAACATTGAGAAGAATTCCTCTCCTTAAAAAAAAAAAAATAGAGTGCATGTGCATGAAAATGGGATAGAGAGAGGGAGAGAAGCACCCTTCACAGGGTCTGGTCACGCCATGATCCCCTTCCTGCAGTCTTCAGCCCACGAAATCTTGGGCATGCATGTGTCTGACCAAGCTGGGGATTCAAACTGCATTTGCCTTGTGGGATAATGAGCTTCTTTTGAGCAGTGTATTACTGCCTGCTGTGCTATGGAGCCAGACCTCCCCTTCAATTCTTATACAACTTTGAAAACACTTTAAATAATATTAAGACAAGAAATATTTCAAGAAGCAAAAAACATCTGTAACTTTCCACAACAAATTCAAGGTTTCCATTCTCTAGCTGGTGGAGTGGTGGTTAAGGCGGCTGGATCCTATGTGGCCAACTGTATGGTTCGAGTCCTGGACTCAGTGGCTTGAAAAACAAACCAGGCACACATGCATACGTTCCTAAAATCCCAAAAGGAGAAAGAGAAAAGAGATTGAGGTGTAGTTTCTTACTTTCCTTCTCTCTTTCTGTCTCTCTCTAGCCAGTGCACATTCCACCTAGCAAATTAAAAGAACAAAAAGGAGGTTCCAAGACTTCTGTAGGTATTTTACAAAAATTGTAGTAAAGATTACAATGAGATTATTTGGGTAAAGAAAGTAGGTATGTAGGAGAAATCTGACATTCCTCCACTTAATGGGGAGAAAGGAAAACTCCACAACACTGGGCCAGGCACTTTAACATTTGTCATTCATTTATCCAACAAATACACATTAATGTCCACTAAGCACCAGGCATCTCAGAAGACATAACCCCAGTTCTCATGCTCTTTACAGGCAGGTAAAGCATGGACTGGATAAAACAATCTAAAACCTTATTTAACTATTTGTTATGATGAAGGCTACAAAAACTACAGTATGTGATTAGAGCATTAAAGCAAGCTGGGGAAAGTTAGAAAAGATCTGAAGGAGTAACAGGAGGGAGGGGAAGGGCTACATTCCAGATGTTATCTCATTTAATCCCTACTACTTTAGCTTAAGTAACTTTCCCAAGGTCACTGACTATTAAGTGTCAAAACCAGGCTTTCAACCAGGTTTGAATGACTCCAAAGTCCATGTTCTTCCCACAGTGCAGTGCTGCCAAACCAGTGTTTCTTCCCAAAACGGTTTCCTCTGAAAGTTAATGAGAAAAAGTTGACTCTACCCCAGATTGTAAGTGCCAAAATTAGACTCTTCTACATACTGAACCCTGCTTACCTGCTACCTTCAAACTCACTTCCACAGGCCTCTAGATTTGGGATGTGAATAACCATAATTTGTTCACCCAGACCATAGCTTTGTAGAAAAACAGCAGAAACACCTCTAAACGGTTTTTGTTTTTTTTTTTTAGATTATCACTTTGTTGTACCAAAAATAAAACATTAAAAAAAAAAAAACTGGTAAGCAGTTTTGCAAAATGATTCATAGACTACAGGGAATAAAACCAATTAAAGAGCTATGGACACTGATTATGGCAACAGTTAAGCAGAGGGGGAAAAACAACTACATAAAGAACAAAGAAAAAGCCTCACTTTCACTTCTGAAACAACTTTCACACTCAAACTTCTCATCTATGGTTTGGATCTCTACCAGCAGGAGTGTACTTTCCCATCTTCTGGTTCCTACTTCCTCTTTTTCAGTGCTTCCATTTTTAGGAATATCAAACTTCATAACAAGGTTTTTATTACATTAGATCTGTTGTGAGTTAATACATTCTTGTAAAAAACAAATTTGGCAAGCTTCCTTTTTCTCTACATTCTTCTAGTGGTTTTTAAATGCTGATTGAAAAACTAAAAGCTTGATTGTTTAACCTAGGATTCACCACAAGCAGAGTAAAAACAACTTAAGTAACCCTTTGCTCTCCCATCTCTAAAAGAAAACAAAACTTTAAAATAATAATAAAAACGTTTACCCAATAATACAACAAATAATAAACTGGCTATGAAAATCCAACTACCACACTCAATAAGAGTTATATACCCTAAACAGTCTCTCACAACTTTCAGTTAAAATACAAATATGTAAACAGAGAGGAAGAAAGAGTGCACCAGGGTCAGACACCAACAATGTGAAGTAAAATGAATGACAGGCTGTGCCTTACAGAAGTGAAAACGGATTTGTAAAAAGAACTCAATATTCAAAACCTGGTGCACTTCTCCTTCCCAGGAACAAATTGTTACTAACGGCAAGACTCTCAAGTACAGATTCCAAATACTGTGCAAGAAGCAACATCAGTTACTTTCTTGAAACTGGAGGCGACCGCGCAGTTAACAGAGCAAAGATGCTGGAAGATCTAATTATATATTGTTCAGGACATTTATGGATTATTTAGAGCAACAGACAATCACTAAAACATTACATACGGTTAATTACATAGGGTTTATAAGGTAAATTTATATTTGGGGAGTCTCTAAATGACCTTTACAACATAATTTTATGGTTTGTATAGCTTGATGAATTTCCTCACTGAAGGTGAATCGCAGGGAAACGTTTAATTCGTGTACTGCCAGTCACGTTGTTCTTACAACACATGGATAAGTAACGTTCGCTCCGAGCTGTACTGTTCCTAGACTGCCCCGCGTTGTGCCACTGAAAACCATCGTCCAACAGGCTTTTTCCCCCCCGAAGCGTCTGAAGCACACGAGCCGAACATTACACAGAAGAACTTTTATATAATGAAAGTATTGAATGTCTCCGGCCCTTAATACACTGAGCACCCACTCCTGGTAAATGACAAAAGCAAGAACCAATCGCCACGCAGGACCCCAATGTCTTAGCCAATAAGAACACGGGGGTGGGGTTAGACTAAGCTCCCGGTGACTTCCCCGCACCCCAGAGACCCAGGTTGTGGGAGAATGGACGCGAATTGGACTCCTAGAATTTCATTACCCCCGGTTGTAGCTGTTGTCCTCCTCGTTCTCACAATCGCTGCAGTGATCATGGCCGGTTCCGTTCCCTTCCATCATCCGCGGCAGCTGAGGTGCCGGCGGCTTCACTGCTGTCTCACTCTCGTCCGCCATCTTGAGTTGCGAGAGCCGGGCTCCGCGCCGCGCTACATGGGGGATTCCTATTGGCCGTGGGGAACTTGCGCTGCTTTCTGGGTTTTGTAGTATTTTTGTGGCGAAGGGACCCGCCACTGGGAGCGGCTTGTTCCTGGGGAAACCCTAATAATGTGGACTACGATACCCAGAAATCACGAAGGAAGGCTGTCCCTGGAAAGGAGGGGTGGGAACCAATACCCGGAAACCTAGGCATTTGTACGGCTTCGAGGAAAGAAGGACCGCAAGGTTGGTGGGGCCGACCCTTCCCGACTGGGGCGGCCGCGTGGCATGCTGGGAGTTGTAGTTTGATGCTAATTTAGTTTCACATGTGGAGGCTCCAAAATCCAAGGTTTGACTCCAGCTTGCTAGTGCCAGGACTGCAAATGAACCGTTACGGGCTGCCGTTGAGAACCGTTACCATTCCCGGGTAAGTGAGAGGGCCTCAGCCCCGCGGGTGCGACCAACCGGGAGCCCGAATGCCCGAGGCCTGCTTGGAGGTGGTTTTTCTGCATGAAGCCAGGTTGGCTCCTCGGCATCTTCCTTTTTGAGGTCTCTGGGCCGCCCCCCAAGTCATTGGAAGTTCAGGCCTGGTAAGATAGCGGAGCATGGTAGGCGGGGCGCTGACCCTGGGCCAGGAGCCTTGACTGTTCTGCAGGCAGGGCTCACTACGGGGCTCGCTGCATCTTGGCCTCCAGGTACTGGATTCCGCCAAGGTCTTAAGGCACCCTTGTTCTTGCTTTTGTCCCTTTCGTTCCCAAGAGCCCCCCACTTCCACCCCCCATCCCCCCTTAGCGAGCACGTATTTGCTAAGCTCTGTGATCAGGTTTTTGTACATTATCTGACTTTAACAAGCTTAGAATGTGCATGCTATTAATGTTCCCCAGTTTCACAGCCAAAAAAAAAAAGCTCTGTGATCAGGTTTTTGTACATTATCTAACTTTAACAAGCTCAGAATGTGTATGCTATTAATGTTCCCCAGTTCCACAGCCAAAAAAAGGGGGCCCCTTGGACGTTGGTAAATTTCAGTCACATGAGCTGGTAAGTGGCAAAATCAGCATACCAATACGGATCTTTGCCCTGTTTTCAGGGCTTCTGAATTTTTGGCCACCACAAAAGTTCCATTGTGTAGTTCATGTATCTATTCAAGAAAATCAGTTATTAGAAGGTAACTGCGACACTTTAATCTGTCTTTAGCCTTGACTGAATAGTTTTTTGAGTCTCATTCCAATGGTCAAGTAATTTCACTTGTCTTGAGAAGACTTCCGAAAGACATAGGAATGAGTCCTGGACCCTGCTGCGTAAACTCCCCTCGGAGTCTGTGGGTGTGCCTGTGCGTGTGTGTGCTTGTGTGCGTGTGTGCCCAAGATCCCAAGAGGAGAATGGAGGAGAAGGGAGTGTGGTGTGGCCATCCCCTGTGGGGTGTGATTTCTCACTTTCCAGAGTAGGTAGGATAGCAGTTAAGGCACCGGATCCCACATGGCCAACTGCAGTCTAAGTCTTGGACCTGGCAGTTAGGAAAACATGCCCATCATGTGTGCATGCATGACCAAAATCCCAAGGGGAGAATGGAAGAGAAGGGATTGACTGCAGTGTGGTCATCCCCTCCAGGGAGGTTAATTTCTCACACACCCACACCCTTTTTTTTTGAGAGTTTTTTTCTGTAGGGTACGTGTATTCACCAGAAAGACAGAGAGAGGCAGAGAGACAGAAAGGGAGAAATCACCCCCTGGGGGAATGGCCATGCTGCATTCCCTTCTCCTCCATTCTCCTTTCGGGATCTTGGGCATGCACACACATGTGCTGGGCACCATTTTAAGCCACCAGGTCCAGAACTTGAACCACGGTCAACTACATGAGAGTTCAGCAACATAGCCATCATGCCAACTGCTGGTCCCACATCCTCTTTTTCTCTCTCTCCAACAAGTACATATGGCCTATGGCAAGAATCTAAAAAGGGGGGAAGGGCTAGTACATATGGCCTATGGCAAAAACCTAAAAAGGGGGGAAGGGCCGGCAGGTGGCTAGGTAGTTCAGGTGCTGGACTCCCACAGGGCCTACCGTGGTACAAGTCTAAGATTTGGCGACTTGCTTTCTCACTTTCACTCTGTCTCTGTATCTATCTCTGGTCAGCATGCATGCCTTGTAGTAAATTAAAAAATAGTAATTACAAATAAACAAAATTAAATAAATATTTTTTTAAATAGAGCCTAACATAGTCAACTCTTTACATCAATGGCAAGAGCAGAAATAAATGTGATCCCAAGCAGCAGATAATCCCCAGTCATTGATACTTGACTTTAGAATGCTATCAGAAAAGCCCACCTAGGCTGAGAGCTGTCACCCCCATCTCTAACTCATCTCTCCAAGGCCGAGACTGCTGTCGACACCATGCCACAGATGCAGCTGCAGGGGTAGGAGAGTTCAGAGAGAATAATCATAAACGCTTACATGTGTTAGATGGATTTAACTATTAAAAATGTTTCATCTAGGGATAGCCTATATCCTAGTGGTTGAGGGAGCTGGATCAAAGTGGCTGACTCCGGTTCAAGTCTTAGCAGCTTGAGAGACACACAGGGTATGTGTGTGTGTGTGTGCCCCAAATCCCGACAGGATAGAGAAGTGAAGGACAAGGGATTGCAGTGTGACCACGCCCCATTGGGGGTTGCTTTTTCCCTCTCTGTCTGTCTCCCTCTGGTCAGTGCATGTGACCTCTGGAATTTAAAAAATAAAAGTCTTATCTGTTTTAGCTTATATGATATAAGAAAGGAGACTTGAGGAAAGCTCTGTGTGTGTGTGTGTGTGTGTCATATTGACACATATATGTCACAGCCCAGTTACAGAGCTTTAGACCTAAACTCACACCTGGTAGTCTAAGTCCCAGCTCTGTGTATTGTATTCCTCCCCATGCAGAGGTTGAATGAATGCTAATGAAAGATGACCAAGGAAGAGTGATTTTTTTTTTTTAAGATTTTTCCTATAGCATGTGTGTGCTTGCTGAAGAGAGAAACAGAGAGGGGGAAGTCAGAAATCACCCCCTCAGGGGGAATGACCACACTACAATCCCTTCTCCATTCTCATATCAGGATTCTGGGCACACACACCCGGCGTGTTTTTCAAGCTACCAGCTCTAAGACTCGAAGTCTGCCATGTGGGACCCAGTGCCTTAGCCACCATGCCATCTGCTGGCCAGAGAGTGATTGCAGAGATTGAATATGCTGATTTCTGTTGATTCTGGTTTTTTTTTTTTTTTTTTTTTAAAGTTTTGTTATAGGTGCATGTACTCATCAGAGACCTGGAAAGAGAAATCACCGCCCAGGGTGATGGTCACACCTCAATCCCGTCTCCTCAATTCTCCTCCTGGAATTTTGCACATGCACCAGTGTAATTTTAAAGCTGCTGAGTCTAGGACTTGAACCACTCTGCTGGTCATGTGGTATCCAGCTACCTCAACCACCACCCTACCAGTTGGCCCCAGCCCTGCCATTCTTATAGTTCAGAACCTAAGACACTTTGCCTTATATTTTAATGCAAACTGAGCAGTTTTTACTCAGGGGAAATCTTTTTCTGGGAGATAGGCAAGCAAGTTCAGAATGCCAGTGCAATTCTGAAGTTCTGGAATCTAGCATCTCAGAATTTTAGAGTTAGGAAACTCAGGATTCTTCAAGGGAGACTCCTCAGTAGTAAAATGGAAATTATATGTTCTCTTTAAAAGAATTCTTTTACTTTTTATTTTATTTATTGTTATTATTATTATTTTTAATCTCACCAGAGAGATACAGGCAGGGAGAGAGAGATAGAGAGATAGAAAGTGTGAGAAGTAAGCCACCAGGTCTGGGACTCAAACTGTGGTCGGCCATGTGGGAGTCCATCACCTTAACCCCCAGGGCCCCTGCCTGCCTGGTTTTTTTTTTTTTTTTTAATTATTTTATTTAACTATTTATTTATTTATTATCATCCAGTTTGATCAGAAAGAGACAACGAAAGAGAAAGAGGGAAAGTGAGAAAGCAAGCCACCAGGTCCAGGACTTGAACTGTGATCAGTCAGCCATTTGGGAGTCTGGCACCTGTAACCACCACATCCCCTGCTGGCCCCTGTTTCATTCTTTTTAAGAAAGATTTTTGTTATAAGGCACATGTGCTCACCAGAAATTCTATGTTTTTAAAAAGATGTTGAGGATCAACAGATAGTGTAATGGTTACATTGTTGAACTCCCACATGGTCAACCCTGGTTCAAGTCCGGACCAGAGGCTTAGAACTCACACCAGGCAGGTGCACGTGTGTACCCAAAATCCCAAGAGGAGAATGGAAGAAAAGGGACTGCAGCATGGCCATCACTCCTGAGGGGGTGGGGTGGTTTCTAGTTTTCGGTCTCTCTGGCGATCGCCTATGCCCTATAGCAAAAATCTCTCTAAAAAATAAATAAATTGGGACCAACAGATAGCATGATGGTTATGGCACAGGACTCCCACATAGTTGACTGCAGTTTGAGTCCTAGACCCAGAGGCTTAAAACTCACACCAGGTGCATATGTGTGTGTGCCCAAGATCCCGAGAGGAGAATGAAGGAGAAGGAATTGTAGCATGGCCATCCCCTAGGGGATGATTTCTTGCTTTCTGTCTCTCTGGCGAGCACATATGCCCTATAGCAAAAATCTCTCTAAAAATATAATAATAATAAAAAATAAAAAGATGTTGAAGGCTAGTCCATGGCCTGGTGACTAAGAAAATTGGCTCCCTCATGGCTGACTATGTTAAAGTCCAAGAAAAACAGCTTGAAAAACGTGTTTGATGTGTGTGTGTGCATGTCCCAAAACCCTGGCAGGATGGAGGAATGGAGGAGAGAGATTGCAGCATGACCATACCCCATTATGGGTGCTTTCTCCTTCTCTCTCCCTCTGGTGAACGCACACATCCTCTGGCCAAAAAAAAAAAAAAAAAAAAAAAAAGTTACTGAGTATATGTGATCACTTTTTAAAAACTAATCACTTGGGGCCAGCAGATGGTGTTGTGGTTATGTCACTGGACTCCACGTGGCTGGCTGTGGTTTGAGTTCCTGACCCGGGACTTGAAAATCATGCTGGGTGCCTGTGCTTGCATGCCCAAGATCCTGGGAGGAGAATGGAGGAGAAGGGAATGTGGTGTGACCATCCCCCCAGGGAGTGATTTCTCACTTTCTCTCTCGCTATCTCTGTCTCCTCGCTTGCTCTCTCCTTCTCTCTAGCAAACAAACATGCCCTAAGGCAAAAACTCTCCCCCAATAAATAAATAAATAAATAAATAAATAATGAGGGGCCGGCAGGTGGTGTGATAGCCGAGGGTGCTGGACTCGCACACAGCTGGCCACAGTTCAAGTCCTGGACCTGGTGGTTTGCTTTCTTACTTTCTCTCTCTCACTGTCTCTCTCTCGCTCTGTCCCTCTCTGGTCAA